TCATATCTTAAGGAAGGTGTTACATATGAATGTGGATGGTTATAATGGCAGAGGAAGACCGAAAAGGAGATGGATGGACTGTGTGAAAGATGATGCGGTGAGAAAGGAAGTAAATAACGAGATGACTGCGAACAGAGATGAATGGAAGAGAAAAACATATTACGCCGACCACAAATAAATGGGATAAGGGAGAAGCAGATGATGATTATGAATATTTCTAAAATAAAAGTAGCGTAAGTTACTCCTTACAACAGTAGCTATCTGTCAGTGAATGTCCCGTCATAATTGGTCCAGCCGTTTCTGAGATTAGTAAGATAAAACAGTAAGAAATTTTTTTTTTCAACATTTCTATTTCAGATACGGTTATATACTCATTTGTTTATTATTAAAGACTTTGATCAAATTGAGTTTAGATTAACATTATTTGTCTATAATATTACTGAATGTTAAATTAATTATGATCGAATTTCGTCCACTGCGCGACCACGAAATACGTCAGGAATAAAAAAAAAGACATTTGTCAAAATAATATTTTCATTCCAAAACCAACCATAATAACAAACACAAAGGGATCATAATTTTAATTACGCAGAATGCGAACTGGGCCGCCTCCAAAGTTAAATCGAGTGGAATTTTTCGTTGCGTCCGGAATCCCAATTTTAAAGTTAACAGACATTAGATTTATCGATATACAACTTTCTGTCGACAGCCTTCGGTTGGTTTTCCTATAAAGTTTAGAAGTTTAATTTTTTTTTGTTTATATACAGACGTGACATTATCGAAAGAAAAAGAAATAGAAATAATCTTCATTCAAATAAACTCATTACAAGCACTTTTGAGTAGTCATATTTTGATTCTACCACTCATTCGGAACCAGAATCATCAAAAGAAAAATGAGCAAGTAACATTATGTAATTAGCTATTACCTAAGTCTTTGTTTGTCTATTCTATTCTATTCTATTCTTTTATTACACATATTAATGATAAAATTATTTAAAAGAGCAACACGCAAGTTTCTTTCTTCTTCTTGTGATGAGACAGCTTTCCGAACGAGCTTAGATTAAAAAAATGTAATGACTATTCAAAAGTGCTTCAATGTAAGTTTATTTGAATAAATGATTTTCTATTCTTTACATAGTCTTTATGATGAAATTTACATATTTCCATATCAAATAGTAAAATTCTTCTATCAATTGTAACTAGGTGACAAACAGATGGACAGATATGGAGACTTACGCAGTTATAAATATTAATATTTAATTGCAAGTTCGGAGACATTTTATTAAACCGATTACAATAATTCTTTTCTTAATCGAATAATATTTTAATCCCATACATGCTGCTTGAATGTTCATCAGGGATAATGTAGGATTCTAATGGTACAAGATTTTTTCAAATCAGTTTCGTAGTTTCGAAGCCTGTTTTATGTAAACAAACAATAAAATTTTTCCTATTTATAATATCTGCCACATTGTCTGTATCTGTGCCATAGACAATGTGGCAGGCGGTGAGCTTACCGCTGGCGCTAATGGCAATATGATTTGTTACAGCTGTAACCATCACCGGAAGGTGAAGTCCTAATCTATTTAATGTATGCCAATTTTAAACTCCAGACTCTTCCGGTATAGCAGTAAATAAATTGGCCACGAAGTTCTAGTTCCAAAAAAACAGTGCAGTAAGACCCCGTTTATCGGTGGATACGTTCCAATAAGTTCCAGCGCTAAACGAAACTGCGTTACACGAGGCTGTTTTTCTTTCTTTTCTTCTGAATCACTACCATCAATATTTTTGTTTTCTTCTTGTTCAGTTAATGCCTTGAGCTCATTATTAGAAAGACTTGCTGTTGTTTCTTGAACTATTTCCTCGACATCTTTCCGTTATGTTCCGAATCCCCGGGTTGAATTAAAGGAGCGCTGAGGGAAGGGGATTTTTAATAATGGGGTCTAATGTCCCCATCGCTAGCAATTTACCATGTTAGTTCGACCTCCACGCGGATCTCCCTGGAAACCATCGTGACTAATTAGTTTAGGTACCGGTTAGTTAATCACGATGGGCAAACTGACCTGACCTCATCTTATCATGCTCCTCTGGTGCCTCGGCAGAGTAAACGTTAGCGCAGGCGGGCGCCAATTTATTACCATCCATAAAAAAAATAAAGGAACGAAATAGCGTTAAGTAGGGTTTTACTGTATTAGTGTTTACATATGGCCGTCACTGTACGGTTCAGATAAACCCCAATCAATAGATAGGATAGAAGGATACACGCGAGATCTGTACCAACAGAGCACAGCTGCGCATTGATGCTCTCTGCAAACAAACTGGCTGCGACGGCTTCTATCTTTAACACCATAATGGATGTATTTGTTTCTGTTATGATGGCCTCCATTTAGTTCTTCAGACAAGGAATTTCTTTTAAGGATTTTTTAAGGGAATGGTGTTTTTTTCTACGCTGTCGGACCTGGAGTACTCATCTTATCATTCTCCACTTGTACCAGCGTAAACAGTTAGCGCAGGCGGGTGCATTCTTCCATTAACATTAATTAAAAAACTAGCAGACTGTTCATGTTTGATTGGATCCAAACGTTTTATTTTAAAAACGCTTTTTTCCGAAAACTCATTTAAGAAGTTAAGAAAAAAAGTAGTAATAATCTATCAAATAAAAGAAGAATAGAATTATTCAAAAGAGCACCAAACAAGTTTTTTGCTCATTCTTCTTGTGCTGAATCTGCGTTCCGAATGAGTGGTAGAATAAAAAATATAACTATTCAAAGGTGCTTGTATTGAGTTTATTTGAATAAAGATTATTTCTATTTCTATAAACATTTCTTTTTAATTTGACGTAGTTATTATTCAGATTTCAGCAAGTATAGCCCCGAGTTACGACTAGATATAAATAGAAATACCTCTGAACGAGGCACGAATAAAAATTGAATAGTTAATAGACGACAGCGTGATTGCAAATGAATAGAGAAATGAAACTGTGTTCAATTTGTGTGAAAGGTAATAAAAGGAATGAGAAGAAATGTAAATTATTTCCTGCTATGCTTATTTGAACCAAATGTATGTATAATATACGAACACTGAAAAATACTTCTAAGATTGATAATAATATAACTAGCTTTTGCCTGCGGCTTCGCTCGCGTTAATTGATCCCCTTAGGGGTGGAATTTATCAAAATCCTTTCTTAGCGGATGCCTACGTCATAACATCTACCTGGATGCCAAATTTCAGCCCGATCCGTCCAGTGGTTTGGGCTGTGCGTTGATAGATCACTATGTCAGTCACGTTTGAGTTATATATATTTAGATATAATATCCTTAGACAATTCACACAGCGCCATCTAGTCCCAATTTACAAGCAGAGCTTGTGTTATGGGTACTAAACAACTGACATAAATACATAGATACTTTTTTTTTTGTAAATACATACATAATATACATAGTAAACATCCAGGTCGATACAAACAATCATACTCAATCATACAAATGTTGGTACCGTGCGAGGAATCGAACCCTCGACCACATCTTAATTTTATAATAAGACCATATTGTTGGCTTATTATAAAATTGAAGTGTTTTGGTAAAAATGTTTTTGTAGAAAATAATAACTAATTTAAAACCCACAGTACTGACAATATTATCCGATTGCATAAAGATTGAGTGAACTATACACCAATAATTGTAGAGATATTTATACCGATACTAGCAGACTCGGCCACGTGTTGCAGTGGTTATGGTTCTTGAATAAAACAATATTGCGACTATAAATTGAGATGTAAGCTATCCTATCTTTCAAATTGGATCAAACTGCACACAATGTGCAAATCAAATTTGCAGTCGGTTCAGTAGTTTAGGAGTCCATCGCGGACAAACAACGTGACACGTAATTTTTATATATAAAGATTATACGGAACCTATTTCCTTCGACTGTGATACTATTAATCTGTTTACTGTTTGCTTTCAGCAGTGCCACATTTATAACTACGTTGTATTAATAAATTAAAACCGCTTTCCTCTGGGAATTTCATTAGACTCTATTTGCTTCCATGTAAATCTTGTGATGCTGCGGATTAATATTCTACAGCACTTAATTTCAAGTTCTTTTTCAGTCGCGTTAAAGTTTTAATTTGTATATATTTTTTTAATTGGACAATTAATACAGTAAAGTATATATCTTATATATAAAATTCTCGTGTCACAGTTTTCGTTCCCATACTCCTCCGAAACGGCTTGACCGATTTTCATGAAATTTTGTGAGCGTATTGAGTAGGTCTGAGCCAACATCTATTTTTCATCCCCCTAAATTTTAGGGGTAGTCCAATCCTAATTTTTTTTTTATTTTAAGACAAAACAACGTTTTCCGGAACAACTAGTATATATATATATATATAAATACAGAAAGTTAGTAATTCATTTCATGCAAATTGCGTAAGGTTTTACTAATAATGGTTTTGTAGAAAAAATCTAACTTAAAATTCATAGCGCTGAAAATTTTGTCCGATTCCACAAAGATTGAGTGCGCAGCGGTTTTTATATTGCCATGCCTAATCCTTGTTAATGTATATTACTTAAAACAACTTTTATTTAAAAGAGCAACACACAAGTTTCTTGCTCATTAATTTATAATACAGTGGATATTAAGATACTTTTCTTATTGATGTTCTCTTTATCAAAGTAATCCTTATTGAAGTTGGTTGAAAAACATCAAATTATTTATCTTCGCTGGGAACTTTAGCTCGAGACTTGTACTAATGTATTTCTACGCTGTGAAACGTTAGACGAATAGCTTGGAGGCTGTCAAGAAACTTACCCGCATGGCTAGGAAGATGAATGGGCTCTCATTTGAGTTCTCTTCTCTCGTTCTACCATCAAAATTTGTTTAAAACATCTATATAAACATGTCAAGCAAAACCTCTATATAGAGGTATTATATATGTATTTTCTTAAGAAAATTACTCGATAGAAGTACGAAATCATAACAAAGTGTATATGTTCGTTTACCTGGTGTTGCCTGGCCTCTTGCTGCTTGAGGTACCTCAGCCGCTGCTCCTTCGCACAGAGCAGCTGGTGCTGTGTGTCGATTTGCTGCTGCTGTCGAAGTGCCATCGCGCGCAACTCTCCCAATGTCAGCTCCACCCCTTCCCCCAACTGTAGACAAAATAAAAAAACATTATTTGATGGCATAGATATGATGATCATCCTTATTATATAACTCGAATACGAAACAAGCTGTTGATTCGCTTGATATGCTCAAATGTAGCTGAATACGAAACTGTATTTATTTCTAAGAACAATGTCAAAATTCAAATTGAAATTCAAATTATCTTTATTCATGTAGGTCTATTACAGACTCTTATGTTATGTCAAATCTACCGTTAGTTCGGAATGATTCCGAGATGAGAAGAACTGACAAGAATCACACTCGTATTCTTTTCAAATAACTATTGTACGTGTTTACAATAATAGAGATTTATTTTTAAATTCAAATTTGGGAGAATAGAGTGACTACCAGCATATGCTGTATCAATTTTTTCAAAAGCAAATAGTTTAATCTGTGTTCATAACCCAAACAGATCAGTCCCTACAAGCAGCAATGTAACCAATTCAAACAAATAAATAAATAAATAGGAAATGACAATCGTTTTGTCTCCAAGAACATGAGCAGCATCGTAATTAATAAGCAATTGATATAAAGGTTTGAGTTTTTATCATAGTTGTTTAGCACTGTACACCTAGTCAGTCGTCGTTGTCTATAAATTGAGATAAGTTTTTAGGGTAGGCCAGATTCGAAGTCACGAACTACGATATCTAAAAGTTGGATACTAAACCCTTACGCCTCAGTGTTTTCTACATAGTATAGATACTTATTCTTTTTAGAAAAATAATAATGAATTCGTACAATTCACACAGCGCCATCTATTGTCAAGCTAAGCAGAGCTTTTGTTATGGGTATTAGTCAACTTATATGAATACTTAGATATATTTTTATAAATACATAGAATACACGTAGATCAATACAAACAATCCTACTTTAAAATACAAATGTTTGCACCATACGAGGAATCTAACCCGCGACTATTAGAAGCAAAGCTGTATACTAAACTGCTAGACCCCCGCGGCGATAATTAAAAAGATAGACAAAGTGTTGTTTTAAAATATTCGGAAACTGTTAAAAAATTATTACATCATTAATCTTCCTAATAGGATTTTAATGACACGAAAAAGCCGAAAAGCAACTCCAGTGAAACTTCATCGAAACATGAACACATGAACACAATGAAGCACCATCCACCGCATCTTTGGCGAGTGAAACTTTTCTGATTTTTCCTCAGACACATACAATTGAAACTTTGAGAGCACCACATCTAAGTTGAGATATATGACGTCTATATATTATAACTACAATTGTCAAGCGGATTTCTCGACGTGTCGCTTTTACGGCAAAGAATGGGGTAGTTAAATTTTATTTATATAGAACAGAAGAAACATAAATGAACTTGATTTAAATAAACTACAACCTCTTTTTATTAATCTGAATAACTTTTCTTTTGCTTTATCTATTTCTAAATTATTCTTCCATCTACTTCTACAACAATCTGTCTTATCGATTTTTACAGTTTTTTTACACAAAGAATGATTGCTTAACGTATTCTATGTTGATTGTCGCATGTCTCCTGCTTTTTAATGTGACTATACTAAAAACAACATTTATTTAAAAGAGCAACACCCAAGTTTCTTGCTTAATCTTCTTGTGATGATAACCTGCGTTCCGGACGGGACCGTTGAGGAATAAAAAAAATGACTATTTAAAAGTCCTTATATAAAGTTTATTTGAGCAAAGATTATTTCTATACTATTCTAGACAGCATTGCTCAGAACTATCCATAGCAAAAAAAAATGTCAAAACCTTCGTGTTCAATTTTTTTGATAACTATGGAATGGTGTCTCCACCTGTACCAAGGCATTACGCTGGCGGAGAAGGAGAAAATGGGCATGAGGTACAATTGGCCCATTGCAGCAAATTCACCAGGAATGATGGTTACCAGAGTCCAGCGCGTGGCGTCAACGTGACTTGGTACATCGCCAAAGATGGAGTTGCCTTGCCTCCCAGTACAAATAATTCTCAGAATGCATATAATATTTATATTTTGTGTAATATATGTAGATATTTATAATAATTGTATATGTGTTTATATAATATCTACGTATGTGTATATACGTATCTTTTATTTATGTTTTCTTTTATTTATTATTGTATATTTTATTATAATGATGACATAATTAGAACATTATTTAAATTGTTGAATTTTTAATGTTTTTTTTTTCAATATTTGGACATTTTAACATTATATTGTTAGTTGTAAATGTGTAACCTACTCACTAATAGCTATGCCTCATTGCTGTGTTGACTGGTAGAGATCTCTTTTAGAGATAAGTCCACATTGCTCACTCTGTATATATTTAACTACAGTATTTAAAAGTGAAATAAAGAATATAATAAAACAGTCGTTATAAAAACTATAACAGTACACGAAATCTGTCATTGGGCGGGGATTAGTGAATACAACTGGATACCATTGAAAATATGAGTGTCTCTCCGAGATAGCAGTAGGTCAGCCGCACGCTTCCATTCAGCCGCCCTCGCAGATCGTTTTAGTGCCACATTATAGGCGTTATTGTTTGAAATTGTCTTCGCCATTCACTTTTCTGCCCTTTTAATATAATTTATTACGGTATAGTCGAACATTTGTAATTTATCTACATTTTTCGGTACTTTCCATAGAGACGAAGTTTGACAAGTTTATGACAAATTTTAAAATTATTGTAATGTTCTATTTGACGGCTTCGGTGATCTAGTGGTTCAGCACACATCTTAAATTCGATGGTCGCGGGTTCGATTCCTCGCATAGTTCATTTATATTAATTAGTAAAATTATATTGGTCATAGTTTTTTTTTATGTATATAGGTAACGCCTATGTTACCGTTTCGGAGAGACATCTTGTTTCAAAGCATGTTGCTTCGCGATTGAGGCTTCCCGTTAATAAAAAAAATTTTTTACAAGTCTATTTTTTTTTTATTCCACAAAGGCAGTCTTTAGTGATTGATTAAAATTGCTTGGAATAACTATATATATATATATTAAACTTTATACCCTATCTACTCATCATCTGCTTCTTCCTTATCCCATTTATTTGGGGTCGGCGTAATATGTTTTTTGCTTCCATTCATCCCTGTTCGCAGTCATCGCGTTATTTACTTCCTTTCTTACCATATCATCTTTCACACAGTCCATCCATCTCTTTTTCGGTCTTCCTCTGCCCTTATAACCATCCACATTCATATGTAACACCTTTCTTAAAATATTATCCTCATTCCTACGCATTACATGTCCATACCATGATAGACGATTACTCTTCAACCTCTCTGACACCGGCGCCACTTTCATACTTCCTCTAATGTATTCATTCTTTATCTTATCCATTCTTGTCACACCACACATCCACCTGAACATTCTCATTTCAGTTGCATGCAGTCGTCTTTCATCCCTATTTATACCTTATCTACGGGTGTATATTAATAAGGTATAGATAAATTCAGATATATAACTAACCTAATGGATTGAATACCTCAAACCACAGTGATCCATTACGAAATATCTTAAATTCCTCCGTGTATTAACAATTATTCATATATATAGTATATATATATATATATATATATATTACTTACATATAAAATTCTCGTGTCATAGTGTTTGTAACAAAACTTCCCCTAAGCGGCTTGACCAATTCATATGAAATTTGTGTGTATATTCAGCAGACCTGAGATTAGGACGTAAACCATTTTTCCTGTCCCTAAATGACAATAGTCCACCCCTATTTTTTTTTATATATTTAATTTTAGTTTACTTCCAAACGTGTACAAAGTCGCAATCTCAACTAGTATGTTTAATATATGTAAATCTCATAAAGGGAGGCACACGTTTAATATATTATGGAATACAAATAACCAAAATTTAATAAGCCCAAAACTTATGAGTTAACATTTAAACGAAAATCACACATAATATTAATTTAATATTTCTATTAATATCTCAGGATAACTCACACAGCGCCTTCTAATCTTAAGCTCAGCAGCTTGTGTTATGGGTACTAGATAACTGATATAAATATATAGATACATTTTTTTGTAAATACTTTACTATATAGAAAACAAACAGACCGACACAAACAATCATACTCATGAATACAAATGTTTATACAATCATTCGAAGTAAGCCGGTGTGCTAAAACTAGACCATCGAGGCCGTCTAAATTTATCTGCTATTTTATACTACACCCCAACTTTATTATAAAGATAAAAAATAAGGGTCCAGAAAAGTCTAACGGCGTTCATCATTTCGCCACCTATAAGGGTGAGAAGTCCGGCCTGGTACGCCGCGCCGGCTGAAAAATGACCACCTAACTGACGGGCCCTCACGGCGGTCAGCGCAACCTATAAAAATGACTAGCTGGTCAAATAAATTGGACGTCCGGCTTTTGTGGTCCCTTACAATTCTTAAGGAACATGCACACTATACTGTAACGATACGATATTGAAACTGTAGATCAGAGGATCAAACTTTTTTGTGTCGTGTCAAATTTTTCGGTTTTGCGTAGACCCCCCATTCTTACCTGGTATTGATTTTTCGTAAATTTCTAACTGTAGTAAAGTTTAGTGTTAAAAATATAAAGTTAAAACAACAAGATGGCCGCTGTCGTAGACCCCTAGCAGATTGGAAACCCACATTTGGAATCACTGCCGTAGACTATTTGAAAATAACAATAACAGAAAGAAATCGAATAATTTTGTAAGTATTATATCATTTAGATGACTCTTGAAGGAATTAGTATATTATTAAACTTATACAAAAAACGAATCAATAGGTAGGTATTACTTAAATCTATACATAATATTAATATGCATGTTATTTATATTCATATGCATGTAGTAAAGAACGGTTATTCCAATATTACAAACAGATACTCCAATTCTATTTATATATGTAGATTTTCTGTAACTAGTACAAAAAATAAATTAAAATCAAGGTCAGACAGTGTAAGCGGTCTATATACTGACCCTAGTTATATACTATCGCTGAAATTAC